GTTGAAGTCTCTAGGACCATCCATGGGATGTTTAACAATGCATGTAGGTCCACATGATTTCTCTATGTTCTTCCCTTGAATTCCCAATTGGGCCTCAGCGTGTACATTCTGAGCCTCCATTTCTCTCTTTCTTCCACGATAACATCTATATGTTGATTTGGCATACTTAACTCGGTTGTTTTCACATGATTCTACCACAACATCAAAGGACCGCCACTTTTCACATCACTCTCATCAATAAGCATGTGATGGAACCATGTATGACTCAGAATTTTTCCTGTCTTAGCATTCGATATATGTGTCTCGGGCAGGAAAGTTACATCCGACTTTATTTGCTTATGTACCTCTAGGAGCGCACGAGCTGCTCGGGCTGAGCTCAACTCATGACAGTTCTATTTTTAGTTTTTTTGTTGCACCCTTATATCTCATTGTTTTACAGTTTCAATTTTAGTTTTTTTTATTGCTGCCTGATATCTCATTGTTTTGACTTATATCATCGTCCCCACCACCAATCTTTCACTTCTTATTGTGAAATGACTTCTAGGGTGTACCATCACCATCAACTTCTTTATCAACGTTGTCGACATCTTCAAAAAGTCCCACCATAGCAGACACCTTCTTGTTCTTCTCTGAATCTTAGTTTTGTTTATTTGGTAGCTCCTTAGCTAAAGAAACAATCGCAAGCCTCTTGCATATAATTGGGTTCATATCATATATATTCCCAAACCTCCCCCCTTCCACGCTAATGATCATACGCATCAAGTTCCATCTCAATCCCATTTGTATCCACTTTTGGGTCCTCCTCATCATATGTAGGGTTTGAATATCCCCTCTGCCAGCCATAACCCCATCCAGTTTGATCACTCCATCTCCCTCCTTGTTCTCGGCCACCTTGCCCATAGCCATTGCTTCGACCATGGCCTCTATCTCCACTAGCCATAATGAAATCTCCCCATTCAAGCTTTCTTGGATCATGCTCACCCGGTCCGCGCTCTTGATACAAATGTCCGATCGGTCCACATTTACCACAAAATCGACAGCTTCTCGTACTTGAAAAATTCCTACTGTTGATCCTTCGTTATTGACACAAAACGACTCAACTTCCTGTTAAAATCCAACTTCACCTTAACTCAACACGAATTGCCCTACAAAGCTCGGCTTGATCTGGACATCCTTAACGGCTTAACCTCATCAATACCTTTAGCCATACCTCTAATTACTGCCTCCTTCAAAAAGTTGTCAAGGAACTTGTAAATTTGGGTCCAGACCGTGGTTTTATCGAGCTATATCAACCAGGGTTTGAGAGCCCGTCATATACAGCAACGACCCTGTACAACACCTTACCCCAATCTGCCAAGCAATTGAATTGGAATGTAAACAAACTGCCGTCCACTTTCTTCCGGGTGGCGTCCCTTGCCAGATTCCATGCAGATCACATGTCGTTGAACAATGCCCGTTCCTGGCTAAACCCTACTCCCTCCGTAAACTAATATAAGAGCATTTAGATTACTATTTTAGTGATCTAAACGCTTTTATATTAGTTTACAGAGGAAGTAGTTACTTTGTGTGTACTTTGGCAATAGCCACTAGCTTCTACATCGTCTGCCATATGTCGTCTCGAATCTGTCACCCTTTCCAATCTGCCAAGAGAGACCAAGCAAACTGCGGACGAGATCAGCTGAGAAACCACTCTCAGCCAGGTTACCGCCGCCGGAGAAAAAACGAAATCCTTGAGGGGGTTGACGATTTTGTTCGTTCGTTTTGATTTTCACTAGGTTTGCTTTACCTTTGTTTGGCTTTCTTCTGGTTTGTTTCCTGTCGAGCGTGTGTTCTGCGTCGCTTTGCCATTATCTTTACTCGCTGCGAGAGCTAGAGTTAAAAGAAGAAATACAGCTTGTAAAACTAAAGTTGCACATAAGTGCAACTATCCAATTTCCTGGGCATTATTCTACTAATAAATGAATCATAGAACATTGTGTTTACAGACTTATGATACAACATGGGCACATGGAACACATAATACAAAAAAATTGCTTCTACCTCTCGGGGATTTTCGATCTACCTCTTTGACCCTTGACAAAGGCGGACATAGCCAGATGCTCCGAAGTCATAAATGACGCCAGCACCACACCACCCGCTACCATCAACCCAAGTCTGCCAAAGGAAACGGAATTTGTTAAGACGGTACAAACACATGACAAAAACATCATGGTTGCAAGCTTGCAATTGCCCATGTAAAAAGTCCTATGGCGAAGTGTCAAATTAAGATATCTCATGCTCAGGAGCAACTTCCACATTTTGAATTTAATCACAACTGAGTACAGTTTGGACGGGTTCGAAGCGGAATAAAAGAATTTCCAAGTTAAAAGTCAAATTATTTTGTCGTACCCTGAAATCAAGAAGCATAGACATAGACAAGAAGCAAAAAAAAAAACTTTGTACTAAAGTTAGTACAAAAGTTGGGTCATCTATTTTGGAACGGAGGGAGTAGTATCTTACTTTGCAAAAATGGCAGTTATGCCAAGGACGGTTGGTGATAATGGTGCTATCGTAGAGATGGTAGCCATCCCCATCCAATAGAAAGCTGAAGCTGTGTCACAATCAGACGTATTCCGCTGATGGCCTGAAAACAGACCAGAGCGTCCATTAGCTCAGCTTGAACAAGAAACTATAAGTTGACACGAAATTTCTACTCCCTCCGTTCCTAAATATTTGTCTTTCTAGACATTTCAACAAATGACTACATACGGAGCAAAATGAGTGAATCTACACTTTAAAATATGTCTACATACATCTGTATGTGGTAGTTCATTTGAGATGTCTAGAAAGACAAATATTTAGGAACGGAGGGAGTAGAAGCTAACGTACCTGTGCCAGTATGATTCTCCGATAAATCCAAACTGCCATACCCAGCTTGATTTGCACTAAAACTTCCCCATTTGTATACAAAACGAAGGTAGCGCCCGAACAACAAAAAGAATGTCACAAAGGTCCACTCGAACATCAGCAGCAAACCCGTCCATGGCATCACTTGCCGTGGAATAACAAGGAAGGCAAATGCAAGAGATATCAATGCACAAATGAAACAGACTACCACAGCGATTGCACCAAAATAAGAAGGCAACTTCAGATGTGCTCCAGTAGATAACTGCGAGAGTTAAGAAGTCATCAAGATATGGTCATGAATGTAACCTTGTTTACTAGAAAGATGGAATGAAATATAATACGTGCGAGCACAGTCAGGACTAAATTGAAATAGTGAAAGTGGTATAAAGATAGCTCCTCTGTCTGTGACCATGTGAACACCTGAATAGTTTGTTTAAGAAAACGAAACCTTGCCATTCATATGAATCTACAGGTTTTCAATAGACGAAATTATTATCATAAACAAGAAGTTTGAATGGTATATTGATGCCACAGCTGTTTAGCATGCTACCATTTACTAACAGCGCATAAAGGGCTACTACTTAAAAGTGGCTAGCGAAAATTGATAAAAAAATGTTTTCTTATAGGACAATAATGGCCATCTTATATTCTTTAACTTTACTCAATTAGCTATAGCAAGACACCATTGTGTTCTTATTTAGTAGCAAGAATTACAATCCACCATTTACAGTTGAAAAGGAACCAACCTTTTGATTTGATATACCAAAGGAAGATGAAGCCACTCCAACTGTTGAATAAGACGGAAGTTCCTCTTCAGATTTGTATTTGTAACGAGCTTGTCTAGCAAAAGCACATAGAGTTCTCATACTCAACAGCTCCTTATTAGTCTGTCAAAAAAACATAAAACAAGCATCAGCTTTTGAGTGCAAATATCTATGAAATTAAAGGAAATACTTTCAGCAAGAAAAGGACTTTAACCTGAAAGCATGATCCATAATAACCACATAACAGCATGCAAAAGGGAAGAATGAAGAGAATTTTGACCACCAACTGGTCACGCGGGTTTTTCCCTCCACCAGTTCCAGGAAGAGATTCTTCAAGATTTTGCCTAACATCCTGCAACCATAAATAACACAAGTTCATTGGTATCATGCTGCTACTTAACGTTTCATTTTGAACCACACGAGAAGTAGCTTATTAGCCCGACAAAAAGAAGTAGCTTATTACCTGCCATACAGCTACAGGTTTAACAAGCCAAGCTGTCCACCAGTCCCACGGCTTAAGAGGTCCAAGTGTGTAGTGAATAACCCTAAGTTCTTTCTCATCGACCATCCACTGAAGCAAATGTAAGAAGGTAAGTTTCACAAATAATCAACAGGTGGGCGTCGATGGTATGTGACAACAAATTCACAAAAGGATTTTGTGTCCTAAATCTCGTGATCGTGTTAGTGCGATATTGAAAAGTTTGTGTCCAAAACTGAAATATTTGTGCTTTGAGCACTAATGCCACATTGGTAAATTAATCAAGCTCTACAGAAACATAAGACAAGGCTATCTCAAAAACAGGGATGGAAGAACCGCTGCTAGGAAGCCAGTTACTGCTAGTAGGCAGATCCACAGGAAAGGGCCGGGATTTGGAAAATCAACAGGTGAGATGCTTCCAATCATACTGTTATACATAAAAACAGAAAACCAAAACTTGGTTCCATATGTTTTTCCCAAAATAATACGTGTTTTCCTTTTAACCAAGTCAGAAATTAGGTTCGATCAGTTTTAGGTTAAGTTGAATTTTCCAAAGACACGTAAAATGAAGGCTGAAGGGGAAGAAACCCCTTGGCATATACATAGAGGAGGAACTGAGGATTCGAACCCAGGTCAAGTTGAATTTGAAAGGGAGAACCGGTAGAAGATATAGTAAAAAGAGCTAGTTTTCAAGGAATCAAACAAAACTCAGCACCAGCTGTGTTGGTGTGCTACATCACGAGAGCTTGATACAAACTCTCTTCTTTCAGTTTTAACACAAGATTCCATTCAAGGAGTGGAACATTATCTAATTCTAATGTTTAGTGAAAATAATAATTCCAATACCTCTAGTCAAGTACTCCCTCTGTAAACTACTCCCTCCGTCCCACAGTATAAGATGTTTTTGCAAGCTAACATAGCTTGCAAAAATGTCTTATATTATGGGACGGAGGGAGTAATATAAGATCTTTTAGATCACTACTTTAGTGATCTGAAAGATCTTATATTAGTTTACAGAGGGAGTATAATAGAAGGTTCAAATAAGATACGATAGAAGGCTTCAAACAAAACATCAAATGCTTAGCGAATAAAAACCTTTTCAATGTATTGTTAACATATTCGAATATACTCCAGGATAAAAGATAATCTAATATGTATTACTAGAATTCTAGGAGATTTTTTTTTCTTTGTTAACACAAGAAGAGAAAAAACTTGAATGATGGATTGAGTATACAGGGCACCTAATGTCATGCTGCCTAAAAAAATGTAATAGTAAGGGGGCAGCCCGGTGCACGTAGCTCCCACTTGCGCGGGGTCCGGGGAAGGGTAGTAACAACACCATCAGTATCATAGAATGCAAAACAAATATATGATCAATATGTGAGTGCATAGAGTATAACCTTATTCGCAAGCAAGTAAAGGCCGACATCAGCATCGTACAATGTGGAGAGGCGTTGCGTCTCAGGTTCAGGTGTTAAAGGTTTATTGGGATCATAAACACGGGAATTGGCGAACTCAGCATAATACGAATTGAGAAAACCTTGATCTCCTGCATGATCAAGTCAATATACTAATTCAGTGTTATAAGATATAAAACATGAAAAAAAATGATAGGGGTAGTAGAACAGAAAGGACAACAACAAACACATTTCACATATGTACATATGCAGCACCAACAGCTCCTCTAAATTAACTGAAAGCTCCAACCATCACGTGATTGAGGGAAAAGATGTTCCCAGAGTATGCAGAAATCTCTAAGCAAGTAATACAAATATTGAGTAGCAAAAGCACTTTCTTCATATTGTTCATCTCGATTACTCAAACAAGGACTACTGTTTTCCTTGACATACCATGTCCCAAAGGACAGAAGGTGCAGGGTAATTTTCAGTTGGAGGAATATAGAGCACTGAGTTACTCAAGCCTAGTTCAAAAAGAAAAAGGGAAACAAAATAGCAAGAAAAACATGCACGATAAGTACGGTAATGCACTTACCTCCCGTGTAAGAAGGTAAGCTGTCAACTTTGTTCATCATATCCTTGAAAAGAGTTTCAGATGGCTCAACAACCATTACTCCAGAATTCATTCTCTCAGAATGTTTCAAGTTTGCACAGAACTTTCCACAGTTGAAAAGATCCTCGATACTTTTCACCACAACGGTGTCTGCGTCGAGATAAACAACTGGAAAACAGTAAACTATGAGAAAAATGTTGTGTCACAATAATAAAAATAACAAAGTAAAACTGAATCAGAATAGCATATATCTAATTAAACCAAAAAGATATGAAAAAAAAATGAAAAAAAAATCATGAAAGGGTAGAAAAAATGTTATCCAAGCATACCTTTTCTGTAGGTAGTCATGTTGAATATTTTCAATTTGGTATACACACCCCAAAACCTTGTTGGCCTCACTTGATTAGGATTAGCCAGCAACGTTATATGCTTCACTATAAAACCGTCAGCCTGTCATATATCAAAAATGAAGTGGGTACTAATCTGCAACAGAATTTGAAAAAAATTGATGTCACAAAAAATAAAGAGAATGCTGGGCCTCTTTGGTCTGCTGAGTGAAGTTGCCTCCAAAAATCATGTCAAATTCCAAAGTAAAGAACTATAACAGGGTCCACGTCGTATCTCACTTAGGACCCGCTTCCAGTTAGTGGATGGCCGTGGAGGTTTTAGGCACATAAAGCTCTAATGATACAGTATTTAAGGTATAACCTTTCGATATTTTTTTTATTTTTTATACATACTCTGAATCGCTAACCACTGACATAATATAACCTCAGAGCTAAGATATTGTGTGTGCGTGCATGCGTGTTATTAAACATATTTTTTGTGTTTTGTTGGTGGAAATCTAGTATCCTAGAGGAGCAAGAAACAATCATCAGTGTCCCTGTAAACAGCTTAAGGGAGTAATGAGCTATGTTATGCTTGGGTAAGATGATATGATCGTGCGGTCTGCTATCAGAGTTAAGGCTACCAAGGGGAGGACTATTGAAGCTTTGGTGTGAGGTATAAGAGATCAATTTTGTGTGTTAGAGCTACGCCCATGAAGCCCATGTATATATGTATAGCAAAGAAGACACAGGAGGGATGTAGATTCTAGAATTTTTCTCAAATTACCAAAGGAGAGTACCAATAAAGTATCAAGTGTTGCACAATCCGAGTCTTAAACAAGAACAAGAACGACTAGTCACTTTCTAGAGCATTACCATACCCCTAGTTTCTCTGTCTATTCCCTGCCACCATTCACACCACCTGATCACTCACCAAAGTGTACAGTACAACCCCTCCTCCGGTGTCTTATCCCTACAACCTCTCAAGCTCTCAGGGCAACTCCAACGCGAGTCACCAAATTGTCCAGACCGTACAGTCCAGACACTTTTAGCCATCCAACCCGGGTCACCAGATTGGTCTGGACCGGTCCGGAAGTCCGAAATCCTACAAACTGGCACCAAATCGAGGGGAGGTTTGCGGGAGTCCAGATGTCCGCCTGGCTCACTGTCAGTTGGACCACATATTCCTACAGCCCATGTGTCCTAGTCATCTCTTTTCCCTCTCGGTCCGCCTGGCCCACTGTCAGTCATAGCCTACAGTCCGGATTGAGTAAATTGCAAAAAAAAAAAAACACCACAATTGTGCAGAAGTCATCAAACACCCACCAAAATGCATGTTTTCTGGTGGTTTTTTTCCTGAAGCATTGATAACTTGGACCCAATTGTGGTGGTTTCTTGCAATTTACTCATCCGGAATTGATGAATACAGTTGGATGGTTGGGCTGTCCATGGATATTTGGTGACCCATATTAAGTGACTTCCCCTTGGAGATAACCTAAGCTTCCTCATTATAACTTAAAAGGGCATTCCATAGACACAGGTGAACTTAAGACCCTGATCACAAAGTGTAGAAACTGTGTGGGTGGGGAATATGATTTAAAGCCAATCAGACAGGGATCTGCTGAAGTATTTATTATGATAACACGTAGGTACTCCTTAATCTTACTGTAGTCAAAGATTGGATTACAAAGAAATAAAAATGCCCTCACAGCCGCAATCTACCAAATGAAGTAATGAACCTAAAATCCCATAAAGTCTACCAGAGCAGATGGATTTGCACCATCATAGTCTTCCCTCTAAATAGTGGTACTAATGACTGCTACACTCATCCTGGGATTGACACAAATAGAACCATATCTCCTTTTAACAGAGTTCCTTAGACCTACTAAATGTGTCAGATATTTACTTGTGTTCCTGTAACACGAGTTTGCTTCATCAGCATACTCACTACACCAATATTGCGCAGTCACAATTCACAGGGTTTGTTCCCAGCCCTAACACTTCATCTTCACACCACACTACACATATTGGAGGAAAAGATAGATGCATTCGGCAGTTAAGTGCCAAAGCATGCACTTCAAAAATGCAAGTAAATTTGAGAATTGAGATGGGTTGTATTTCTATCCGTGAGCTTTTTGCACCAATGAGACATTACTGCACAGTGCACGCACAGTTATTTGAAACTACATCATGATGAAGCACAACTGCACAACTGAATTACTGAAGTACGAGAGAGAGAGACGAGCCTAAGTTCAAACTAGAAACATAAGCTGCGAGCTCCATCTACCAGCTTGTAGATGATTCATTTTAATGCCAAATTCCCCGGTGGGCTGTCCAACATTAAACTAATACATACTCCCTCCGTTCCAAAATAGATGACTCAAGAAAGCACAGATGTGCGCGCATACCTCGAGGAGCTTCCGAGAGTAGTCAGAGACGCCGTCGGAGACGAGCACGACAAGGTCCCGGCGGGTGCCCATATCGCGGATGGACTTCCCGAGGACGCGCACGCCCAGGACGAACTCGTCCCCGTAGAGCAGCGTCACGTAGGCCTCCTCCGCCCCCGCCGCGGCCGCCACCCCGCCCCCGCCGCCGACGGCCAGCAGGGCCACCGCGGCGAGGAGGGCGGCCCAGAGCCCCAGCTTGCGCGGCCTCCACCGCATCGCGAGCCAGGCCGGGCCGGATCGGTTGCCGCGGGGAGGAGAGAGAGAGAGAGGCGGTGGAGGGGGGAAAGCGCGGCGAAGAGACGAGGAAGCGGCGGAAGGAGCAACGACGGTTTCCCGCAGCGCCCGTTTTCCTTTCCGTCAAAGAGAGTGTGGAGTTTGGAATTTTCGTTGGCCGTTCAAGTCCAAGACGAACGGCGATGGCTACAACTCTGTGCCTACAGGTGGATCGCGTTGGCTTGAGAGAAGGAACATGGAGCCGACCTGGAAAGGTCGGACGGCTGCGCACCTTCAAGGCACATGTTCTGCTTTTTTGTTACGAGGTTAGAGCATCTCTAACAGATCTCTCGGAATGCGGATCAGTTAACACAGTTTACGGTTCGCTCGTTGTCTCGGATACGTGCTGAAAACCTCCGCGAAAAAATAGAAACCTCAAATCGAACTGTAGATTTTGAATTCAAGACTTCGGAGGAGAAATAGAATGAGTCATACATAGTTCTTGATCATCATACATAGTTCATACATACACTAAATTACACTAATAGCTAAGGGGATAGGCGGCCACCGTAACCCTACAGCCAAAAAATGGCTCACCGGAGCCATCCGGGTGCGGCGGCGACGCAGCGGCGGCGGACATCCTTACTTCCTTAGTCGCCGTTGTCGGAGACGATGTCGATGTAGATGTCGTTCTGCGCCTTCTTCTCAGGGCGCCATGCGTCTTGGTTGTCGGCGAACTCCTTCTCCTTGGCGAGCCCCTGCTCGAGGAGGACGTCGTCGTGGTTCGCAAGAGATCGTCGGTGCTGCTCCTCATCCTCCTTCTCCCGCACGTTGCGCGCCATGATTGCCCGCTTGAAGATGTCCGCCTCGGTCGGGGGGAGGAAATCCTTCGGCCCGATGACGCCACCGCCCGGCGGCATCGGCTCTGCCTCGAGCTCCCGCTTCACCACGCGGAGGGATGGGAGATCCACCGGCTCCCTTTTCACCGGTGTGAGGAGCGGCGTGCGGGGCCCGTGCCGGCGGTCGTACTCCTCCGCCTCGCGGCGGAGGAGCGACTCCGACAGCTGGAGGTTGTGCTTGGTGTACTTCTTTGCCGCGCGCTTCCTCGCACTGTCCGCTCGGACACACCGCTGGCACTCGGGGTCGTCCCTCCCGCCAGAGCTGCGGCTGCAGCTCCACATTCCGCCCCACATGATGTTGTTCGGTGGCGGGATTGGACTCACCGGCAGCAAGAAATAAAAGGGGGATTGGGGAGGATTGGGGGAATCACGGCGGGCATGAGATAGGGTTTCGACCCGTATTGACGTCGTGAACCCGTAGATATACTGCGTCAGGGGGCGGTTTACGGGCCACCGTAAAATATTTTACGGGCCGAGCGAGTATACGGGTTTTGTTCTGACCAAAAAATGGGCCGAGCCAGTATAGTCGCCGAAATTTTGCGGATCCGCGTGTTTTGAGGGGTCTGCTAGAGATGCTCTTATACATGCCCTGCTTCTCTGGACCAACACAGAATAAGTTCAACCAGAGCCGGAGGAAAGAAAACCCTAGTCCGATTTTTTTGTTCGTTGGGTTTCGACCGAATTCCCCTGGTTTCTTTCGCTCGGTTTCCTTCCCTGGGATTTTCCCTTTTTTCTCCATTTTTTCGGACGTGGCTTGCTAGCGCACATGTGCTCCCTGGTTAAATTGAGCAGATGCCTCCTAATATGAAAAGTACAATTGGTCCTCCGCACATGCTTTCAAAAAAGGAAGCATCTTAGTCCCTTGCCACCACCTCCTTGCGTACCCACGTGATCCAGAAACATTAAGCAAGAAATCAGTCTAGATCTTATCCCCACGTTGCATTTGTTTGGGCGTTCAGAAAGTTTAAAAAGACATAACTTTTAATTCAAGCGTTGAAATCCAGTTTCGTTTTCAATGTTTGGTTTCTCACGAGGAGTCTTTCAAAAATAGATCTCATATTGATAGGTTTCGTTGAACATCTTTTGTGGGCAACTTTGGGTGCAATGGAGGCAATTTTAGTGCTATGGAGAAGCAACTTCTTCTTTCTGGCCTAATAGGACTCCTATTAGGTTAGTTTGTGTAAAAACAAGAAAAATCACACAAAACATGAGGCACCTTTAGCGCTACATACAAAAGCAACTTCACTACACTATGTATACCTGTGAATTTTGGTAACATTATAATGACTTGCCTATCATGAATGCTTAGTTGCTTATTGTTGATGGCCAGTTGCCTACAATTGAGGCTTAGTTGCCTATTGCTTATTGTTGATGGTCGGTTGCCTACAATTGTAAGCCTATAGAAACTATGAAATTGACTACCATTGATGCAATTCCCTATTATTGGTAATTAGTTGGCTATTATTACTGCTCAGTTGCATAACTTTGCAAATTAGTTGCTACAAATATTGTGAAGTTGCTTATCATTGGATTCTCTAAGTTGTCTACAAAACACTATGAAGTTGTGATGTAGGGTGGAACCCTAGTGGCTGATCTTTCACGAAATGGAGGGGATCCCGCGAAGAACATGAAGAACACGTGGGAAAACATGAGGGGAAACGAGAGGAATCACTCAAATCAACGAGAAACGATCACACATGTGCTAGATCCATGAGCACAAAGAGATACACGATCCAAAGTCAACAAAGGACGATACAGACGGTAACTAGTTCTTATCCGTGAGGAGGTCTTGAGTCCGCGAGCGATCTTTCAGTGAGGGGTCTTGAATCCAAGTGTGGATCTTCTCCGTAGAGGCCGCGGTCTCTCGATGGAGGAGAAGCACAAGGATGAGCAAAAATCTATCTCTAAAATGAGCTAAACCAATGCTAACCCTAGCTAGGAGGGGGTAGGAGTCTATATATAGTCGTAGTGCAAAGTGGGACGAGTTGGAGGGGTACATGGGCCCTTGGCCCGTTCACTATGCGCAGACAGGCGCTAGATGTCCGGGCTGGGGGTCGGATGTCCGGCGGCTCGCAAGGAGCCGGATGTCTGGGCTAGACTAGTTCGTTTCCTGTGCTATTTGGATAGGCGGGGCATGATGTCCAGGCGAAGAGGCCGGATGTCCGGGGCATGGGGCCTGATGTCCGGGCTGTCGGGGTCACTTCCGGAGCTCTCTGAGTAGATGTAGCCGGATGTCCAGTGAAGGGGCCAGATGTCCGGAGGTGGTCGGATGTCTGGAACATGGTCGGATGTCCGGCTGCTGTACTAGCTGGCTCTTTTTCCTTCTCCTCTCTTCGCTCCCATGCACACTTGGTGAGGCGGAGCATCCTACGGTCATCCCCATGGACCTACATCGTCTCACCAAGCACCAAGAGGACCCATGACAAGAGCACGAGCTAGAGCCCTTGAGACCGAGGTGACTTCTTTCCTTAGTGATATCTCATTCGATCCTCTCGAGACATGGCTACTGCCTAAGTCCGGAATGTTGTGCATGATTAGGTACCAAGAGGACCCTCCCGAAGATGCACATGAAGATGTTCAAGCCCCCAAGTCCACGGAAGAAGAGAACCAACGGAAGAAGGCGAGAACAGCTTCCAGGCCCCGGACATCCGGTCATGGCCCCGGACATCTGGCCCCTAGAGATCTACCCCGCAGCCAAGGATCTGCAGCCGAAGCTACATGGCCCAGACATCCGGCGTCCAGCCCGGACATCCGGCCCGTCGCCCCGGAAATCCGGCTCCTAGCCCAGACATCCGGACAAACCATCCAGGGAGCACAGAAGGCTGCCTCGATATCCCGGACATCCGGCCATCACCCCGGATATCCGGCTCCTCCCGAAGCCCCGGACATCCGGCCCCTTCACCCAGACATCCGACCCCTCCTATCCAGAGAGCACCGAGGCCGACTCACCCATGCCGGACATCCGGCCCCCTAGCCCGGACATCCGGCGTCTCGGGAAGGCCCGGACATCCGCCCCCCCCTGCCTGCGTGCAGCGCATCCGGGCCGAGGTCCATGTACCCCTTCGCCCCTTAGACTATATATACTCCATCTCCACCTACATTTTAGGGTTAGCGTTGATTTAGCTTATTTGTGAGATAGAGCCTTGCTCATCCATCCGGATCTACTCCTCGTGAGGGACCGACCCCTCTTCGGAGAAGATCCACCTGGATTCAAGACCTCCATCCGGAGAAGACCCTCATCAAGACCTCCTCACGGAGAAGAACCGGTTGTTGGGGAACGTTGCAGAAAATTAAAAATTTTCCTACGGTTTCACCAAGATCCATCTATGAGTTCATCTAAGCAATGAGTCTAGGGAGAGAGTTTGCATCTACATACCACTTGTAGATCGCGTGCGGAAGCTTGCAAGGTGATGACGTAGTCGTACTCGACGTGATCCAAATCACCGATGACCAGCACCGAACGGGCGGCACCTCCGCGTTCAACACACGTACGGGGCGGGAGACGTCTCCTCCTTCTTGATCCAGCAAGGGGGAAGGAGAGGTTGATGAAGATCCAGCAGCACGACGGCGTGGTGGTGGATGCAGGGCGTCACAGCAGCAGGGCTTCGCCGAGACTACGAGGGAGAGACGTAACGGGGGGAGGTGGAGGCGCCAGGGGCTGGTGTGTTGAGTCCCTCCTCTCCCCCACTATATATAGGGGTGCCAGGGGGGGCGCCGGCCCTAGTAGATGAGATCTACTAGGGGGGGCGGCGGCCTAGGGGAGGTTTCCCTCCCCCCAAGGCACCTAGGGGTGCCTTCCACCACTAGGACTCCTCCTAGGGGGAAACCCTAGGCGCATGGGCCTATAGGGGCTGGTGCCCTTGGCCCATGATGGCCAAGGCGCACCCCCTACAGCCCATGTGGCCCCCCGGGACAGGTGGCTCCACCCGGTGGACCCCCGGGACCCTTCCGGTGGTCCCGGTACAATACCGATAACCCCGAAACTTGTCCCGATGCCCGAAATAGCACTTCCTATATATAATTCTTTACCTCCGAACCATTCCGGAACTCCTCGTGACGTCCGGGATCTCATCCGGGACTCCGAACAACATTCGGGTTTCTGCA